GCCCCCCCCTCCCCCGGCGAGGAGAAACACGGCTCCTAAGGCAGACAGTTCTGTCGTCGCACAGCCCAGCTTCGTAGATCTTCCTTCCACTGATCTGAAATCTGCTCACCCCACAACCACCACACACTGAATCTGCTACATGTTACTCAGGACAACTCCCCTAATGTTTGAAGACAGTTGTCTAGTTCTCCCTTTACTCAGTTCCTCCACTCATCCCTCATTGCTGGGACTTGCTTTCCCTCAGCTGTGAAAAATCATTGTGGTGGAATACAGCCCCACCTCCTGCATCGGGCACCTTCAAAAGCCCCAGTAACTGGCTGTCAGTATGCGAGGTCTTGCTCAGCAAACAGAGCAAGGGGCAGTGAAGGGAACTTAACCAGGGCACAGCTCAGCTTTGCCCTAGGGCAGGCCTGAAGGCAGGGATGGGTGCCTCTTTCCCCTCTATCAGTCTCACTTTCTCATCAGGAAAATAAGAAAGCCCAGGCCCAGACGTTTTCTCCCTGGTTGCCTGTACACTAGCTAAATAACCTTGTGCATATCACAGCCTCTTGGAGGCCTGTCTCCTCATCTGTAAAATAAAAGTGTGAACACAACAAAGTCTTTGATTCTAACTGATGTATAAGAAGGGACTTTCAAGTCAAAAATGGCTTCTGGTTAGCAGCCTTCAATGTTCCTTCTTACAATTTCTCATTAAACATCAAGAAACAGGACTTACTGGTGGCGCAGTGGTTAAGAATCCACCTGCCAATGCAGGGGACACGGGCTCGAGCCCTGGTCTGGGAAGATCCCACATGCCACAGAGTAACTAAGCCTGTGCACCACAACTACTGAGCCTGCGTGCCACAACTACTGAAGCCTGCATGCCTAGAGCCTGTGCTCCACAACAAGAGAAGCCACCGCAATGAGAAGCCTGTGCACTGCAAACGAAGAGTAGCACCCAGCTCACTGCAACTAGAGAAAGCCCACACACAGCAATGAAGACCCAACGCAACCAAAAACATAAATTTATATATTAAAAAAAAAGAAAACATCATAGGGCTGGGCCAAGGAGTAGGAAGACAGTGAGCTCACCTCCTCTCATGGGCACAGCAAAATTACAACCATTTACAGAGCAGCTATCAATGAGAAGACCCAGAAGACTAGCAGAAAAGATCTACAACTAAAGATATAAGGAACCAGAACAAGATGGGTAGGAAGGGTGGAGTTGCAATATTGTCAAGACCCACACCCCTGGGGGGGGTAACCTACAAATAGGAAGATAATTACAATTGCAGAGGTTCTCCCCAAGGAGCAAGTGGTCTGAGCCCCACATCAGGCTCCCCAACACAGGGGTGCACTACGAAGACGAGCCCCCAGAACATTTGGCTTTGAAGGCTAGTGGGGCTTACTTTTGGGAGATCCAGAGAGACACTACTATTAAAGGGTGCACACAAAACCTCACATGCCCTGGGACCCCGTGCAGAAGCAGTAATTTGAAAGGAGCCTGGGTCAGACCTACCTGCTGA